CTGTTGTGAGAAAGAGAGAGAGAGAGAGAGAGATTAGAAAAAATAATAATAATAGAGAAATGAACGAGCTTTATCAATTTTATTAATGGAGTTCGGTATCGATAAATCTTTAACATGTTTTAGATTGGGGATTGGAGAGTAAGAAAATGAAATACTGAGCAAGGGAGGGAGGGAGGGAGGGAGGGAGGGAGGGAGGGAGGGAGGGAGGGAGGGAGGGAAATAGAGAAGGAGGGAGGGAAGGAGAGAGAGGGAGGGAGGGAGGGAGGGAGGGAGGGAGGGGGAGAGGGAGAGAGAGGGAGGGAGAGAGAGAGAGAGAGAGAGAGAGAGAGAGAGAGAGAGAGAGAGAGAGAGAGAGAGAGAGAGAGAGAGAGAGAGAGAGAGAGAGAGAGAGAGAGAGAACAGGAAGTAAAAAACAGTGAAAAAAATAAGACACAAAGCAAGAGAAAAGGAGAAAAAAAACAGCGAAACATACACAGGACATACAAACAGAGGACATACAAACATACGAACAAAAAGACAAAAACAACCAAACAAACAAAAAGACAAAGCCAGACAAACAAACAAACAAAACGACGAACAGCGACTCCAGTACCCATCCACAGCGAGAGAACGAGCGAGCGAGAGAGCGAGCGAGAGAGAGAGAACGCTCACCTGCGCAACACACACGCGGCCAAGTTGATCCAGCTGGACGTTTCAATTAAAATAGAGGCTGATCCAGTGAGATTCCGCGCCATGATAGTCGGAGAAACCTCGGCCCAACAGAAGGAGGGATAGGGGAGGGGGAGGAGGGGGGAGAGAGGTAGGGGAGGGAGGGAAGAGTGATAGGGGGAGAGGGGGAGAGAGATAGGGGAAGGGAGGGGGGAAGGGAGGTAGGGGTGGGAGAGAGATAGGGTAGGGGAGTGGGGGAAGGGAGATAGGGGAGTGGGGGAAGGGAGATAGGGGAGTGGGGGAAGGGAGATAGGGGAGGGAGGGGGGAAGAGAGGTAGGGGGAAGAGGGGAGAGAGGTAGAGGAAGGGGGGAAGAGATAGGGAAGGGGGAGGAGAGAGATAGGGGAGGGGGAAGAGAGATAGGGGAGGGGTGGGAGAGAGATAGGGGAGTGGGGGAAGGGAGATAGGGGAGGGAGGGGGAAGAGAGGTAGGGGGAGGAGGAAAGAGAGGTAGAGGAAGGGGGGAAGAGATAGGGAAGGGGGAGGAGAGAGATAGGGGAGGGGGAGAGAGAGGTAGGGGAGGGGGGAGGAGAGATAGGGGAGGGGGGAGGGAGGTAGGGGAGGGGGAAGAGAGATAGGGGAGGGGGGGAGAGAGAGGTAGGGGAGGGGGAGTGAGAGATAGGGGAGGGGGGAAGAGAGATAGGGGGAGGGGGGCGGGAGTGAGGGAACGGGGGAATAGAGATAGGGGAGGGGGGAAGAGAGATAGGGGAGGGGGGAAGGGAGGTAAGGGAGGGGGGTGAGAGATAGGGGAGGCAGGGGGAAAAGAGGTAGGGGAGGGGGGAGGAGTTCAGGAACGGGGGAAGAGTGATAAGGGAGGAGGGAGGAAGAGAGATAGGGGGAGGGGGGAAGAGAGATAAGAAGGAAGCAGGAAGCTTTGGGGAGGGAGAAGGAAGGGAATAGAGAGAAAGGGGATGTGGAAGAGGGGAGAAAGGGGAAAGGGGTGAGTGTGAAGGAGAGTGGGGGAGAGAAGGAAGGAAGAGGGGGCAGAAGGGGAAAGAAAATGGGATGGGGAATAGGAAGAGAAAGGAAAAGATCGGGGAGATGGGAGAGGAATGGGGAAAAGGAAAGGGTAGGAAGAGATAGAAAGAAGAGAGAAGGAAGGGAGGGAGGTGGGGGAGGGGAGAGGGGGGAAGAAAGGGGGAGGCAGGAGAGGGGAAGAAGGTTTAAGGGGAAGGGAGAGGGAAGAGAGGGGGAGGTGGGAATGAAGGAGGGGAAAAAAGGAGGAGGTAGGAGAGGGGAAATAAATGATGGGGGAGGGAGAAGGGGGAGAGAAAACGGAGGGATAACGGGGGGGGAAATAAAAGAAAGCGGGAGAGAGGTAAGAGGGGAGAGAAAGGGGAAACAGAAGGTAGGGAGAAAGCAGATAAAAGGTGAGAGAAGGGAGGGGAGGAAAGCTGAGGTAAGGGAAGGTGAGGGAAGGGAGGAGAGGGGAGGTGAGGGGAAGGGAGGAGAGGGGAGGTGAGGGAAGGGGAGTGGGGGAGGCGCGGGAAGAGAGGGGAGGAGAGGAGAAGGGGAGTGAGGGAAGGGAAGTGAGAGGAGGTGAGGAGAAGGGGAGTGGGGAGGAGGCGCGGGAAGGGAAGTGAGGGGAGGTGAGGGGAGATGAGGGGAAGAGAGGGGAGGGGGGGAGGCAGGTGGAGCCGAAGAACCCCTTCAGTCATTCCAGGACGGCTCAAGCGTTTAAAGATTGAGAGGGGAAAGGGGGAGAGGGGAGAAACAAGAGCCCAGGGTCCGTTTAAGGTAGGAGGAAGAGGAGGAGAAGGAAAAGGAAGAGGAGGAGGAGGAGGAAGAGGAAAA